CGTCAGCATGCGGCGCGCGGAAATATAAATTCGGGCGTTTTTCTGTGTGTTTCTTTCATTTCTTTTTTCACTTTAAAAGTGCACCGCGAACTGCTGTGGCGACGACGGTGGCGGCGAAACAGTTGGAAAAGTGTCCGACTGCGTGCCGCGAATGCGATGAGGAAAAATCCATGCGACTGCGCTCCGCCTAAAGGGGAATCCGACACCCGCTCAAATTGCTTTTATTAATGATGTTTACTTAAGTTTATTATGGCGAAGGCGGCAAAGTTTTCATCGTCGCCAATCTTAAGCACACGCCGCGAATTATACAACTTTCAAGTTCTTTCTTCGCGCACAACGATACAAAAGCATCGCGCTAGCGGCGTGAAGACGAACAAAAAATAGACACGCACTTTTTGCTGCTACGGATTTCGCTACACTCAAATTTTGACGATGATTAATTAGCATCTTGACAATTTAATTAATAATTAATATTTTTTCATCACTTCTTATTATGTAATGTGGTGTGATGTTCAGGAAACGTGTTGAAACAACGATGGGAAGATGAACGTTTGAAAAATTTGTGCTACGTTGACCACTGCTTGTTATTTAATAAGTTGGTTTTGCTCCAAGGGAGCAAATTTGATTGTGTTTAATTTGGGTGCATTTTAAAATCGATGGTGCAGCCTAGCAACAACAATAACGGAGGCTCCGACATGGACTCGTTGGAGGACATGTTGCGGAAGGTAACAAATTGCATTTACGTATTTTTATTATAAGTTGGCGATATTGATTCAACTCTCATCATTCGAATCATTGTCGCGTAGAAAGTATTTAAAAGTTTCGACGAGTTTAACGCGAGTTTCAGCCAAATCGCATTTCAGGGAAAAAAGTCGCCAACTTTTAAATTTGCGTTTCATTTAATTTGAAAATAAATTGCTCGTTTCGGAGTTTAAAAAGCGGTGCGTTGGAATTAGCATAAGGTTTTTTGAATTTCTCCAATTGCCACATTTTAGCCGGCGCTTTTTTTTCCGGGGGACTTCAAATCCGGCTATTTATTCCGACTTGTAATCAGCTTTTCGTCGCATCCTCCCTCGCTGCTTTTATTTATTAAAGTTGTTACTCTTGTTATCGATCTTATTATGCCCAGCGTGCACACAACACACGCACAACATGCCAAATAAAATACGAATATACACAAATCGAGAGAGGGTGGGCCGGAAAAGCGGAAAAAGCCGGCTGTGGAAGGAAAAGCATTTGATGTAGAATCCACAGTCGGGCCGGCATCTTTTTTTTTCTGTGTGGGGCTCTAATCCCTTTTTAGCAGAAATTCACTGCTTACTTATATTCCGGCACTCTGTTCACGCGTATGTGCGTCCTTATTTACAGATAAAAAATATCTATAAATACGCACAGCGTCCCTTTTTTTTATATTTTCGTCGTCGTGGTGCGGTTGTTGTTGTTACCCTTCGGATTTTCTCTTTGGTTCCCTTTGGTCGCTTGCCATTTAATAATACGTCAGGCACAGATGAGGAGAAATTTAATAAACTCGAGCTACTTACGAAGCTTTGAAATCTTTTTCTCCCGGATAAAATCTTAAAAACGTCGCTCCTGCATCAACTTGTTTACGTTCGTGTGTTTATTTGTTTGGTGATGGTGTGTGTATGTACGTATATTGTATGTTGAAAATATAAACCACGTGTTGCACTTGAGTATATTGGTGCTTTTAAATTTCGAGGCACGTGCGAAAAAGCTACCCTTCGAATACTATCACATTCAATACCTGCGTCTTTCACCGTCGTCTTAAAATTAAAGAAACGTATTGAAAACTTTGATTTTAATCAAAAATTATTTCTCATACAAATTTTATATTTATTTATTTTTATAGAATTAGATGTTTTATTTGAGATTATTGAGGGTAAAATCTTTGTTTTAAATTTTGTTTAATACGGGCCTGTGCTAAACATCACTCAGACTGTATTCCCATTCAGTTGCAATCATGGTGGGAAAAGCTCGCGCACCCGAAGAGGCCTTTCGCCACATCCATAAAACTAAAACCACATCCAAGTTTAAGCACTTTTTCTTTCCGGCCTTGCATCATCACGAAGCGGATTGCAACTTGTATACTCCAACATGCCACATGTGTTTGTGTTCGGGCTGTTTCGTGTTGTGCAAAGCAAACTCAAACTACATAAATAAATTTTCCTTCAGCGAATTCAATTTAACCAAGAATTCATCCGCGTAATATACACGATGATGAAAAGCTACATCCGTAAAACTGCATATGACGTGTTCGTTTCGCACGAGAGATCTCTAGTTTTTCTTCAATTTCCGCCGCGCGCCTTTCATGACGTCGCGTTTTTCGCTTTCATTGTGTGTGTGTGTGGTGGGTTTGCTGTTATTTAGCGCTGCGGGGCGCGGCGAGAGGAATTAATGAAAAATATTCCCACTCTAATATGATTGGGGATTCCCATCTCGCGCGCGTAAAAAATATTCAGCGTTTTTCTTTTGACCCGAAAGTTTTTCTTTAATTTAAAAGAATGAATAATTTCGCGCAAGCGGGGCGGCTGCCCCCCGGATGTTATTCCGAGTTCCACAGACGGCGAATTATATTTTTTATTTCCTTTTTACAATAACTTGGCGCTTGCTCACCGCGAATAAAAAAAAAAGAAGCGCCACTTTATTATTACAGTTACTACTCGCCGTATAACTCTAACTCACTGGGCGTGCGATGTTTGGGGGGCGGTTGACTGATACGACGGCGGTCGTGGATCTTTCTTTGTTTTACGATCTCATTTAGCATTTGTATGTATATGAGCGATTGCAAATTGCGCCGCCGGGGCGCCAGAACTACGCGCACCCGCTTTGTTCATAACTTAATTGAACGTTTTCGGTAATTTGCAAAACTTTTTTAATAAACCTACTTTCGCGTCTTCTGCGCCGCTACTTCTACGCTGGCCTGATTAATTTCCGCCGATAAATTCTCGACTTTCCAATTAATTTCCCAAAACACACAAAAAAAAGTTGATTATAAAACTTTTCGGTAATTAATCCGAAATAGCGCGCACCTGTTTGCGGAGCCGGTTTACAGCCGGTGGCGGCAACCCCCAAAACGCTATCTATTATGTTAGATGTGCGCGCGCCCACGCTGCCCACGCTCGTTTGTATATTCGCAACACCTGTTTCCTAGACCAATTTGTAAAATAGAACACTGCCCTAATAGTAGTGGTGCATAATTAATCAAATATTCACTGAACATGTGTCGACTGTTCGTAAACCGTTTCGTCGGGGTGCTGTTGGTGTCGAACGGGGCACATTGCTCTCGGATTGAGCAGTGGAGGCGGCGGCGAGCGGAGAGCTTAGCGGAACGTTTTGTGTTTAGTAGGTGGCTCTCATAAAGGACGCCCGTTCCTTTAATATTGATCGATTATAACTCTCTCTCCACGGAGAGACCAACCGTAGCTGTGTTTTCCTTCACGATCCGCGTTGTCTGCGGTTGCAGCGGTCGAGACTTTGCATTATAACCCTGGAATACTAAACTTTTCATTATTACAACGTATTTATTTGCTCGTGAGTATTCTAGAGTTAAACATTTTCACTGGCATGCAACGGTCATAACCATCTTCATCCGAAGTGATAACAAAAGCGTGCGGTTTGCTTGGCGCGCGCGGCCGGGGTAAGGAACTCCTGGGGGGATCGATACATGTGGAAAACTCGGCCCGACACACATGCTGCGAGGCGGCGCGCACCGGAGAGAACATAAATCACTTGATTCTTCATCCAGGTTGTGCGTGTCTGGCGCGAGGCGCGCGCGCACGTTACGTGGTTACTAGTTGACAACACTTTCCTTCCCCCTGTCGAATCTCGCCCTGGCGAAGATTGCAATACACAACAAGCGATGAATACCATATATGCGCTGGGTGCAATTGACATTCCACATCAGAAACGGAAATCCCACAAGAATCGCCTTGTTATTTACGTTCGTGCAGTTAAAGTTGCATTCTCGCTGCCTTCGCTGTTTTCTGACGGGGGCGGCGGCGTCCTTTTTGGCTGCAATCCTATCGGCTTTTCTCGAGTCACTTGTTTACTGGAGTAATAACTCTTCGGGCGCCAGGCGGGTTGGCGCGCCGACCAAAACATTTCTATTTTAATTTTCAACTGCGGGGCGAAGCGCGCGCCGCCACGTCGAAAACCAAACAGCCAAAATCTTGATCTGAGCAGGCATGAATTATGCAAGGCGAAGATGTGGGTTAAACAGGGGATAATAAATTGCCGCGAGCAAACTGTTTGGCTAGATATTCACATACACCAAATTCAAATGCCAAAAAGTTACTCGTTACTCTGCCGCCACCTCCCTTGGCCACACCGTGACGAAAGTTATGCTTTGCTATGAACATTCTGAAAAAAATGAATGTTTATGCAAGGCAGACGACAGGGGTATTTACTTAAATAAATGATACCACAATTTGTATATTCATTTTTCATGTTATAATGGATTTTTTCCATTTTGTTGATCCGCCGAAATGTTTTCCATCAAACAAACAGAACTAAATTAAAATATTGTTTATTTTGAGCGGCGTCCTTTGTGCCGGTACATTTTACATTGTTTTCACATCCTCTCCAAAATGAATTGGGTCTGTTGTTGTATTTTTGGAATATAAATACTTTATGTATTTATTCAAGTCAAACAGCCCCGAGGGTGGATCTGGATGTGGATAAATATTAAATTATGGGTATGAAAACGAACAGGCAGATCGCAATGTTGTCACGAATGCTGATGTGATGTTGTTACAGTTGTGCTGCTGGCATATACCAGCAATGTTCTGCTTGTTTTCGCCCTTAGGCGCGAAGGGTTGTGGAATAGGGGGAAAATATTCGGATAGTACATGCTTGCGCCCTCTAGTGGTTATATTCGGAGTGTGCCTGGTTGACAGTGGCGTGCAACAGATGGCGCAGCATGTTCTGAATCGGCTGAAATAATGAAACCGGAAGTGCTAATTTGTTTTTGTTTTGTTTTTCAGCTCTCCGAGCTCGAGCAACGGGTCCTGGAGGCGGAAGGACGAGCCGAGGAAGCGGAGGATAAGGTAAATAATGCAATGACCAAACTTTTCTCTTAAACTTTAGAAAATATCTTTTAATTGCGTATTTTTAATTTTATCTGGTTTTTGCTTTTTTTTAATGTTTTGCAATGGGGAAGCTGGATATGTTGCTTTTATCCTGCCCTTGTGTTGTCTGGAGTGGACGTATCGCGTTGCTAGGCGACGCGTCTCACTTTCGCTATCGCCGTACCCCTATTGATTATTTCAGCGTCGCGACGCTGGCGCTCGTGCGTGCGTTTCGTGTGGTGGCCATGGCGTCTGGCAGCTGACAGAGTGTACGCAAAAAAATAATCAACCATAGCAAATATTTTCGCGGCCGCGAGATTGTTCCTAAGTTGCCATTCGGTTCGTCTGCTCGATTAGTTTTTTCGTCGCGCTTCATTTGTTCGCAAACGCGCTCGCGTAACCAAGATATTTCTATCGGATAAGTGATAAAATGTAAGTGTGCATTGCAATTACAAAGGGTCGTGCACGTACGGACCACAGAGGACGAGTAACTCCTTCGGCAAATATTCTTTCTCGATTCTGTGATTCCTTATCTTTCGCTGTGTGTGTTTCTGTGTCTTCTCTATCGCTTTAACTAGCTGATTCTACGTTAATTACGTACCGATTTTAAGTGTCGGACATGTTATCTTGTTGTCGTAAGTAACCCCTATCATCCTCATAGACTTGTAGGATAGACATGTGCTTTTTTACTATGATTTCCCAAAGTTTTATTTATCTCATGTGCTGGAAATGTATATTGAGGTTGGGAAATGTGTGGCATGAAATCCAATTGCGTCCATCTTAGATCTTAACGAATTTGCGACATTTCCAATGCATTTTGATTCACTCCCGTGCATGTTCGCTGATCAGAAGTCTGTGCACGCCGGCTTATTGCATCATGATGGTTTCATGATTTATGTTTGTGGTATTTTCAGCCGGCGTGTACTTGTTTAACAGTGTGTGGGGAGCTAAGGTTCATGTACCTTGACTGATCCGTCATCGTAAAACCGCGTATTGATGATTTCCAAGTACATATTGCGTTATCATTTATTCAAGACATCTTATTGGACCGGATATCGCATTTCCCTTGCGCGATGTGATGTGAAAATAATAAAAAATTAATAAGTTTGGTTCCCATCAGCAGAACCGGATTTCCGCGCGTTATATTTTTAAGTAATATTTTATTTGTTGGCAACGCAAGCTTTATTCCGTTATTCTTGGCACGTAATATGGTCAATTAGCGTGCTACCTGCCGGATTGTAAATAATCCTTAACTTGAGATTGCGGTAGCGGTGGAGGCGGCTCATTTTAAATTCCGATCAAGATAGTGCACAACTTTTTAACTTAAATTTATTACATACTGAACTACAACAATGGGTGGTAATAGGATTTAATATTAATGATTTCGTTGGTTTTGATTCCGAAAATTCGCTAACACACATCTTTACGATTTTGTAAACAGTTGGGTAGGGGATTTAAAAAAGCACATGTAACATAATACGCAAGAGATGATGCGTCCCCGCTTCTTCTCATGTTGTATACAGTAGTTCGCAAATAGGGTTCGATCCCCCTATACGAGTTAAAATTAAATGAGTCATCACCACCGTGGTAAACGCTCCCTTATCGCGACGCATTCCGGACAAATAGAATTACGCATTTCGGTTTGAGCTTTCATCGACGTCACTGCGTTTTCAAGAACGTGAACAATTTTATTCTTTTTGTGGAATGTGTTAATGATATTCATTAAAGAACAGCTGTGCAATGTGTGCAGCGGTCGGTGTAGTTGAAGTATAGTTGCGCGCACCCCGTTCGTTTGTATTTTTAGTACAACGCGTCCCGTGTGTTGACTCTTGCTGTTGGTTCTTGATTGCGTGTGTGTCACTTAAAGTTTTCTGTGTTATTGCTGTTTGCTTCGTCTGGCCAAGTGCCAGTATGCAGAAGGGGGCAAGCACCCTCGTTGGGGAAGTTTAGTGACAGCGTCGCGACGCTCCGGCGCCGTTTATAGAATATCCGCGTGCAGTCGTAATACGCCAGTGTGCCGCATTGCAACTCATCTTGTTTCATTGTGCTTTGTTCTCGCGTTTTTAATCTCCAAAATGGGTACCTATCTATATTAATAGGTCTTTTGTGCTTGGAAATATATTTATCGCTTGGTTTGTTTGTTTGTATTCATAGGTTCGAATAATGGAACAGAAGTTAGCGTGGTCGCAGCAGAGTGACGGCAATACAACGCAACTTGTTCGCTTGGAGACCGAAGTGGAAGAACAGAAGCAGTTGCGCCTGCAAGACGCGCGGCAGGTGGAAGCAAAGACTGCGCGAATCAAGGAATGGGTCACCAATAAGCTCAAAGAGTTGGAGCAGCAGAATCAGACGCTGCGCGAGCAGAACATTAAATGCAATCAGCAGCTAGAGTTGCTACGCAATCATCTCGCGCTCGCCGACCGGCGTAGATCGGAGAGCTGTTCGCCCGAGCCGAAGACGCTCTCGCACACATCCTCACCGCACTCGTCCAGACATCGTCGGCATCAATCCGTGTCCACCTTCGAGCCGGCGATTCCCAGCAATTTAATCAATTCGTATATACCATCCGCCATGGACCCACTCGCTGAGGACCTACGTGCGGCGGTTGATAATCTCAGCTTGGGTGGTCGCGTGCCGAGTAGTGCATCCGATTCGGATCTTGCACATGATTACGCTGAGATTTACACCCCTAGTCGGGAGAAAGCGCCGTGGCCACGTGCACCCACGCCTCCTCTGCATAGATTCCCCAGCTGGGAGGATCGTATCTATCAAGTTGCTGCTGATGGACTGACATTAACCGGAACAACACCGAGTGATGTTGGTCCTGAACAAGCCGGGTATCAGGATATTCCGGTGCCGGTATACGCAACGGTTAAGGGGCGGGCGAGTCAGATTCGGTCGATGCCGTTCACGGGTGATTCCAGTGACGATTCCAGCGATGGCGAAGGCAATAACACGACGGTGAGTTTTGTCTAGTGGCTCGCATGTATTTCCATCCGGGCTAATTGTGGAAACTGATTTATGCGTTGCAGGCGGTGGATGGGACACACACGCATAGTAGAAGTTCGGGTGAAACTTCTGGCTCAAGTCCCGGTAAACGCACCGCGTCCAGCAGCAGTGGTTCGCCAAGTAAAAGCAAAACTAGAGGTAAATGCACTCCCCCTTTCATATACATCATCATCATTCCAACCTGGTGGTTTTGTTTGTTTTTTATTTTGCACTTTCATTAATCACGTTCCCGGATCACCCGGTTCTGTTTGTGTTTAACAAACAGGCGTTTCAGATACCTCGTTTGAATCGGGCATGTCCGATGACTACGCCGTACCACCGGATGCCCTTAGCTGCGATACGACCAGTTTGGAATCGTCGCTCATTTTAAGAGCTTCCTCCTATCTAGATAGTCCAAAGCGCACGGAGAACTTGGAAAAGAGTGGTTCATTAGCTAAATTAGGTGGGTATTATATAAAACTCCTTTGCGCTTTGATTCAAATGCAAATGGCGGCTTTTCTAGGTGGTAAACTGAAGACTTGGCGAAAGCGCTGGTTTGTTTTAAAACATGGCGTGCTCACATATTACAAAAGCCAGAATGATACCAGCCGAAAACCGCAAGGGCAAATACTCCTCGACGACATCTGCAAGATCACCCGAGCAGAAGGTTCCAACACATTTGAGATTGACACTGGTAAAAAGACATATTACTTGACTGCTGATTCAATTACTGCTGTCGAGGACTGGGTGCGCACCTTACAAAACGTACAACGAAGAAACGCAACCAAGTTACTATTAAGCCGTGAAGAAAACAAGCCATCTGTCCAAGGCTGGCTGACGAAGGTCAAGAACGGCCATCCTAAGAAATGCTGGTGTGTCTTGATCGGCAAAATGTTTTTATACTTTAAGACTGCTACGGATGCTGTAAGTTGAATCGATTCGCATCAATATTAATTTACTCATGTTTATTGCATTCGACAGACTCCAGCCGGGCAGATAAACATGCGTGACGCAAGAGTAGAGGAAGTTGAGCATTTGTCCGATTCGGATTCGGAGGAAAAAGACGGCGAACTGCCTGATTTTACGATTGGGATCGTTCCAACGAATCAAGGTCCTACATATATCCTTTGTCCTGGTAAACAAGAGAAAGATTCCTGGCTGTATCATTTAACGGTAGCGAGCGGCGGTGGACCGAGCACCGGTACACAATACGAGCAATTAATTCACAAGCTGATGGATGTCGACGGCGATCCGAATTGCGTCCTATGGCGACATCCAGTTCTATTACACGTGCCTTGCACTAAAGACGGCGCTATTCCCTCGTACTTTCCATTAACCACGCTCACGTCCGAAAACCTTCAAGTGAGTATTCCATCAATGGGTACTTTTACGTTCTAATAAATGTACTCTTTGCAGACCGAAGCAATAAAACTCTTCAAGTGTTTGCAATTATTCATGTCGGCGGCCGTCGATCAAGCCGGCATCGACTATCATGTGGTGCTGGCGCAAAATGCGCTTCAGCAGTGCCTCGATATGCCTGAGCTGCAGGCCGAGCTCGTATGTGCGCTTGTCAAACAAACGAGCAAGAGCGCGCCGCTACCCAAACTCGGTGTTCAGGTATCTACACAAAAATTGCTTAAGAAAGGTGTAAGTGTGCTTTTTCTATTTAGTTTTTATGATCTTACAAATCTCCCCATTTCATCAAACTAAAAACTAGTGCCTGTCGATCTCACGTGGAAATAGGGGCCATTTTTTAGTTGATCACTCCAGTAGCGCAACTAGTTATAACACTTAGTTTAGATCTAGTTGCGTTACTGTAAGAAAATAGAAAATTCTGTTTAGTTTTTAAGAAGCAATTGCGCGCATATTTACTGCACTGATCGTTTTTCATTTTGTTTCACAAACATGCTTTTACTAGTCAGTCATTTATGTTGCATGGAGCAAAACATTCATAGAAATTCAGAACAATGTACAATGTGTATTTGGTAAGAATGTTGGTGTTTTCTTATGATTATTATTATTATACATTCTAGCACAGGCCGATTGTAAGACGCATTTGTTATCGTCGGCGATTCCGAATGCGCCTTCCATTTGGTGGCGTGCGATGGTTTCTTTATGAATGTGTTTAGACTTAGATGCGGCTATGATTGTCTCTCTAACTATCCTGTTGCATCATGCCCAAACATTGTACTATATACAATTTGTTTACATACTTCATGCGGTTTGCGTTCTCTTTGTACTATCGAAGCGTAAATCGTTGCACATTACATCGTAGCGACACTCGTACACACCACCACGCATCAATTGGGGGGTTGTTGAATATATATCATCTTTACTAGTTAATTAATTGATAATTACGGGTATGTGCAGGACATCAATAAGAAACACCAAAATTCTTTTCAGCAACTGCTTCTTTGCGCTACCCAGAGTTTGTTCACTTGCGAGACAACTCCAAGTATTAATAGTACCTCTGATCAACAAATTGCATCCTCTAATATACAGGCTGTCCAGGAAGAGAAGTACAAGGAGCATAAGGAGTCACATCACAAAGATCACAAAGGCCCGCCGAGCTTTTCGCTCTTGCAGGGCTGGCAGTTGCTGGCTCTGGCCGTCAGTTTGTTCGTGCCTAAATCGTCGCGGTTGCTTTGGTTTCTCAAGTTGCATCTGCAGCGCAACGCCGACAATCGTACCGAATGCGGCAAATACGCCGCGTATTGCGAGCGGGCCCTGGAGAGAACCATATTAATGGGTAATTTAAGTTTGTTAATTAAGAGCGCGGGCGGGTTGACTAATAGTCGCTTATTTTGCGCACAGGTGGACGCGAACTGAAGCCATCACGAATGGAGGTTCTTAGCATACTGTTGAAGAATCCGCAACATCACAGCATGCCGCATTCTATGCCGGTGCACCTGCTCAATGGCACCTATCACATATCTAGTTTCGATGGCTCAACGACCATCAAAGAGTTTCAAGATAGTTTTGCACACGAAATTGGCTGTAGAGTAACGAATGGTTTTGCGTTATTCAGCGACGATCCAATAGAGAAGGATCTGGAGCATACGTTGGATCCAAGCGCAAAATTATGCGATTTGATCTCGAAGTGGGAAATCGCATTACGTGAGAAAGGACTCGGTAAATTTGAGAATAGCCGAGTTATTCGACTGACTTACAAGAATCGGCTGTGGTGGAAAAATAGCGCGAAACTGGAGACGGATAAAGAGCGACTTTTATTATGTTATCAAATAAACAAGCAAATCGTAGCTGGAAGGTTCCCACTCAGCCGCGAATTAGCGCTGGAGTTGGCCTCGCTCATGGCCCAGTTGGACATGGGTGATTGTTCGTTGAACGCACTCAATACGCACAAGAACACTGCAACGCAGCTCAACGCCAAGATCGTACAAAGCGCGACCGCCACGTTGGGAACGCAGAGCACATCGCACAAAGCCGCCAGCGGCCCAAATCACACTGTACAAACATCACATACCTTAAATGCCTTAAATAATGTTCACAACATTCTAACGGCGCATTCGAATCAAACGCTTAGTGCAATCGACAAGTTTTATCCATATCGCTATCGCGATCAATTATCGCAAGAAGGCCTCACCGAGCTCCAGGGCAAACTACTCGACAAATGGAGGAGTTTAAAGGGACGAACTCAATTAGACTGCGTGCGGATATACCTCACATGCACTAGAAAATGGCCATACTTTGGAGCAACCCTCTTTCAGGTATTTTCTTATGATACTTTGTATTTGTCGCAAGATAATTTGCAGCGTTCATTTGTTGAACAGGCAAAATTACGACAGCCAGATGCTCCAATGATATGGTTAGCTGTGAACGAAGATGCAATAACCGTGTTGGAGCTGGCGAACATGCAACAGCGCGTCCGATACGCCTACACTAACGTGCTCACTTTCGGCGGCTGCCAGGAAGACTTTATGTTAGTCGTTACTCAAAACGATCAACAACCTTCTCAGAAACTGATCTTTTCCCTAAGCAAACCGAAAATCTTAGAGTTAACATTACTAATCGCCGATTATATGAATCTCTTAATTAATAATCCTGGTACGCCGCTATTGGGCACGTTAAGTCGCGGTACAATGGTTTCCGTCACGCAGTCGATGGTTAACAACACCATCACAAATCAGCAGCCGGACATTCTCAAGTCCACGCCTGACCACGGCGTCCAGCGCACCGATTCAAAGCGGCGCACGCACGTCGATTCAGGCCTGGCATGATGACGCCCGTGATGATGAGAATGCGGCTATGTTTTTTTCTCACTAGTCTTGCAACAATACTAATTTTTTGCTAATTTATTTTTTAATACGTGCCGCTTGAAATCGTTTCTCATGTGCCACTCATTACGTTTGATTCGTTTCATTAGTGTACATAGCGTTCGAATGCAAATATTGCCAATATTTTTAAACGGAACTAATTTTTACTTGTATGTGAAACTAGTCTATCTGTATTTTGCATAATTTGCGTGCGTGGCAGTTACCAAGAGATTAATTTTTGTACTAGAACAATTTTTTACATCTTTCAGTTTCGAGGATATGATGTGTATATTTTCCAATGTAGGTTAAATACGTATTAATCATTGATAAAAATAGTTTCATCAATAGGTAACAAATATATAAATTATTCACAATGGTATCTTATTAATATTGCAAACCATTTTGAACTTCTTGTATTAATTCAGCGGACTTTTTAAGTTTACCCTTCTCCACATCGGTCAAGTCTTGAAGGACCACTTGACTAACACCATTTCCAGCCAGGACAGCCGGCAGGGACAGAAATACATCTTCGGTAACACCATGAATTCCCTAGAATTCATTAATTTTTATATGGAAGCTGTACTACAACATCTTTAAAACTTTATTTACCTGTATATGAGTGGATACAACTTTAATACTCTGCGTGTTTCTAAAAATGGCGTTGCAAATATTCGAGACGCTCAAACCGATTGCCCATGAAGTATATCCTTTCAGTTTTATCACTTCATATGCGCTTTCAACAACATCTTGATGTATTTTAGCCCAATTTTCAGGGTCACTACAACCGGCGAGGTTCGGATTAAGTTCACAAAGTCTAATTCCGCTTACGTTTACTTCCGACCATACTGGAACTAAACAAACAAATATTTCTTTATTATTTAATGAAATTATTATTATTACCGCTTGAATCTCCATGTTCTCCAATAACAAACCCATGAACACAGCTGGGTGCTATGCCCAACTTCTGGGAAATCAAGAAACGAAATCGAGAAGAGTCCAGATTGGTCCCGGATCCAAAGACGCGATTCTTGGGTAATCCGCTGAGCTTCCAAGCCACGTAAGTCAATATATCAACGGGGTTGCTAACAATTAACAACATGGTATCTGGTGAATGTTTAACTAATTGTGGGATTATGAATTTCATAATGTCCGTATTGCGCTGGACAAGATCCAAACGTGATTCACCTTCGCGTTGTCTAGCTCCAGCTGTGACTATGCATATTTTTGAACCTGCACTAATTGCATAATCTAAAACATTTAATGTAAAGTTAAACTTTGGTTTAAAGAATTAACAAAGGAAGTAATACCTGTGCTAGCTTCAATTTTTGCGTTCTTCATGAAAACAGAACCATGTTGCAAGTCCATCATTTCCCCTTTTAGTTTATCTTCGACACAATCAATTAAACAAACATGACTGGAGACGTTCTGTAAGATTTATTTTGTCCACATTCTTTTGAAGTAACTGTATTTTCGATTACAACAAGTTTTACCTGTGTTAAAATGCTGAAGGCACAAGCCATTCCCACTTGGCCAACGCCTACGATTGTTATTTTACTTCCGGCACTTTCCGGCGGCGGGACAACTACCTTCAACAATTTCTGAACCGTTGATTGAGGAGCTTCGTCACTCATTTTGGTTTTCACTTCTTCAATTTACAAATTCAAACAATGCTTTACTCAGACTCGAACCCAACTAGTAGTAAAGTAGAGTGAATGCGGTCTGGTGGACGTGATTGAAATGTAAAAAAAAACAACACGCCCAGTTATTGCCCTTACAGATAAATATTTGAAGAGTTATCAGCGGTTTCCACAGTTAAGCGATAATTCACTTGCTCATGATAAAACGTAGTGATGTACTGGAAGGCACAAATCTGTTTGAAGAACTTGAAACTGAATCTATAAATAGATTTTTTATATCCAACGAAGCGGACGTGCGTATAAAACTTCTGTCTGCTGCTACTGGCTCTAGTGAGACGTGATCACTGTCATGTTTTCATTGCATTGTAGTTGTTTTTGTTTGTCTTTGTAGCGTCTGTCTCGATGACGATAGGTTAATATTAAAATCTACAAAATAAAGGAATGTAATTAGTCATGACCTTGATTTTCATTTTCTAGTTTATACGCATTTAGTTTCTCGCAAACGCAAAACTCGGTATTGGTCGGCTCAGTAGCAGCAAGACGGCGTTTTCAAATGATTTCCTTTCGGAAATTGTGAAAATAAGATGTGGTCTGGTCGAGCGGTTACTTTCCGCGCACTTTTCAACCGGTTAGAAAGTATAAACTAATGTAGGAGGCATACGCAGCACTAATTCAATCTTTTTTTGTTCATAAAGTGTTTGATAATACAAAGTATTTGCAAACACGGAGTTATAATATATTTCTTGGATTTCTCTTTGTTGGAAAGATTAAATTTAGCCGAAAGTACGATTTGTTTTATGTGCGCGCGGGTATTACATGAGAGGTCATAAAACAAACATCAAAATGAAGCTTGCAAGTGCTTGTAATCAATTCACATATGCTTCTGTAAAAGTACTTAATCAGACAATAAAATACGGCGTAGATTTACATTGTATGAGTTATAAAATCGATCATATATTTTAACTCACGATAAATTCCATCGCAAAGACATGGCCGATTTTCATTAACCCGCTTTTTTAATCGAAAAGACACAAATTAAACGTAACACTGTTGGCCATTCAATAATTAAAACTTAGACATTAATTTATTCTATATAACCACTTAAATTCAGTCTTGTATAATTTATCTCCAACGGTAGATGAATATAACTATGTGCTTATGTTAAACTACGGAATAAAAACCAAAAATTTCGAACAAAACATCACGTAGCTCATCCAAGACCTAATGAACTCTTGTCTGTGAGGTATGAAGTATCGAGGTTTCTCGTTTCACTTTATAATTTTGGCCATTCGTTGCTTCAAAATTCGATTCATGTTCTTTATTGCCACTCATACCGACTGCTGATTCTAGGACAAAACGGTCGACGCGCCGCAGTAAAACACAAATTGTTTTCTTTCTTTTAACAAGGAAGCATGAGATTTTTTTGTTTTATTTATAGGCATAATAACAAAACAAAATATTGATTCAACAATAAACACTTTACGCTTGCCAAACAAAGACCAAATATAGTCTTTATGTGTCATAATAATTATGATTATAAATTTCGCATTCGTTGACGATTAACAAGCATTATTTTTTGCACATTCTTTGGGTAAGCCTGCAGGCCGACCTACTATTTAATTGTTTCCATTCTTTGGATAGTGTTTACTTGGCGCCTTTCACCTTTCCGTAAACCAGTGCCCAGTTTGGAGGATTATCACAAGAAAGCCATTAGAAATTGCAACGCTTGCAATATCATATTATATATAAGTTTGCACGAATTGTATCAATTTTAAATATTTGAAATTGCGTGCATCAACGGAATTTAAATGCTTTAAATTTATATTTTGTAATTTCGTAAACATTCGGCGGTTCTATTATAGATATAACATAATAATAATTACTAAATATTTTGCATTCTTTTGCTTACACAAATATAAAACGTGGCCAAAACAAAATTTATCTTTAATTTACCAAACAACATGTTGCATATAAAACTAACAACTATTCTGGTTTTCATAATTAGCAGTGTTTTAACTTCTTCTGATCCACCAAAGAATATTGATAGTTATAAGCCGTCTATATCTGAACAGCACCTATGGATAAGAATCTGTCAAAAACAAATGTTGGACTACATCGACATGTACAATGAAATATTTGGTCGAAAGTTATATATCGATGTGTATTATCAGATACCATTTGCATGTAGGTTTTCTTATTGGACCAATCAACAAGTGAAAATTGGAGTGTACATACAATTGTGTGATTTGGAATGGATTACCCCGATTGATACATGGTCTGATTGTGGAACTGTTTATAAACCACCGAAAAACATGTGTAATATGACCGGGGAAACTTATTTAAATACATATATTGATGATGTATTCTCTTCGAAGTTAATTACGGTTGATACCGGTAAATGTCCAGTGCCCAGACCTCCCAGTTGCGATATTACCAGTCATATTGTTACTAATATTACCAGTGGATATTACAAGGACAGTGTGATTAGAACGAATGTTGATTTTTATTGCAATAATAAAGTGTTGAAGTATAGTCAGCAGATAGTCACATGTAAGAAAAATGGAATTGTTTTACCTCCTGGTACAGAATATTGTTGATAATGTTATCAATATGTTTAGTTTTGGTATTTGAAGCAACACGTAAAAGAATTTTACAATATTAGAAATAACTTTGAATAAATTGATAATACGTTCTAAATGTTTTGCATACCGCATATTTAAATGATAAAAAATATTTAAAACCTATAACAACAAACAAATTGTTTTTATCTACAAACAAAATGTTGGCCATTAAACAAGTAATCATATATGTTTTCCTTACCAGCACTCTGTTAACTAACATCTTTCCTTCAAAATCATCAGAAAGTATGCTAACTTATAATGGATCTCCATCCGAACAGCGCCTCTGGATTAGATACTGCCAAAAAATAATGTTGGACTATATCTACAAGGATAATAAACGGCTTGGCCGCAGGCCTTACATAGATGCACCCAGAATAACAGCCTACGGTTGTCGTTTTTACTATTGGAAGAATCCACGAGTCAAGATGTATTTTGAATTGGCCTTCTGTGATCCTGAATGGATGGTACCATTCAGTATATTCACTAATTGTTTCAAATTAACACGACCACCAAGGAATACCTGCAATATTACAGGGCCAGTTGAAATGACAGCATGGTTGAAAAATTATAAGTTTTGGAATTCGTTTCTGGTTGATACTGGAAAGTGTCCGGTACCTGAGCCTCCAAAATGTGATGTTACAAAGCATGTTGTTACCAATATAACTAGTAATAATAGTGTGGATACTATATTTAGAAGCAAAGTTGATTTTTATTGTGATAATAACGAGTTGAAATATAGTGAGGAGTTAAATATTTGTAAGAATGATGGATTTCTTTTGCCACCAGGCACAGAATCATGTTAATAAATGTTTTATTTTTATTGAATTTGTGTTTATATTGTAAGAAAAGAGAAACATTGGTTGTATACATTGTGCGCTGCAAATTCCGATAAATTGATAAGAAGAGTTTTGTCAATAACAAGAAAAGATCGTTGTGAGAATAACAGGTATATATCAGCAGTATCTCCGCGGGCCGCGTGGCGTGAACACGCGAAAACAATTGTAAAACGTGTTTTAACAAGAAAATTACAATTCATATTATTGTGCAGTGTTGACCATCGAATCTTCGGTGATTTATAATTCGGATTGTTGGTAATTTACTATTCGCATACAATGT